TTTGTTTGCAGGGTGCGGTGCCCCCCCCCCCCCCGAGCTTGTCCAACCCTCCTGAGGCTTTTTAATCCCTCGTCGCGCGGCAGCCAGGTAAAGGGACGATGCCGACAAACCTGCTCCATCCTGGCATCTCCAGGTTTGCAAGGCTGGCATGCTGATTCTTAATTTTGGGGGGATTTGGGTTTTTTTGGGGGAAACTGGTGCAGCGGAGGAGTTTTTAATCGGCGTGTGGGGGTGGCTTTGTGCTGAAACCAGCTGCCTCCCCTCAAGGGAAGGGAAAGAAAAGTATCAGGAGCTGTGCCGGCTTTCTTTGAGCATCTCTCTCTTCTCCCACAGGTCATCTGCGCTCTCACCGCTCCTCCCGCAGCCGCCAGCGTTAGCCAGTTCCCCGGTCCTGTGGCAGAGAAGGGGTTAGAGCCTGCGGCACCACCATGAACGAAGTGTCAGTCGTGAAGGAGGGCTGGCTGCCCACGCGAGGTGAGGGAGGCGAGCCGGGAAGCCAGCTCAGCGCTGGTGGCATCCCTCCAAGGCCGGGTCACCACCAGGAATCTGGTGCTGCAGCTGCCGCCGGGAAAGGAGAGCTCCGGTTTCTAGTTACCAACGATTTTTAACCTTTCCTCGGCACAAATACAGAGGGGTCTTTGCTTCCCCTCGCCCCAAAACAGGGCGTGAGGCACCTTGGTACCACAGGGAATCCCAGAACCACCAGTGCCTTCCCCCTTTGGCTTTCTCCTGCTCCTTGGCTCAGCTCGGCCGCTCTCCCGGCAATCAGTAATGCCAGCGTTTGGTCTGTGCCGCAGGCAAATCCATCCGGCAGCACCATTTTTAATCGCTTGCCACGTTGGGAAGCTGGAGGATGATCATAAGATCTCCCCGCAGACCCTCTAACCCAGTTTACCAAACCACCTGCCGCGGTGGCCCTGCAGCGAGACCCCCAGCCAGCCTTTTTATTTTTAGCCGTACACGGGCAACGTCGCAGCATTGTAGCAGCTGCGCACATGGGGTTTTATTTTTAGACCCATTGAAGGTGGCTTTTCTTTTTCCTTCCCTTGCTGAGGGCGGTTTGCAAGGGGAGCAGGCGTGAAAGCCATCCGCTTTTCTCCCATCGGCAGCCCGGCTGGATCCCTGTGTCCAGCAGATTCATGGATTCCTACGAGAGGGAAGCCAGGGCCTCGCTCTGATGCTATTTCTTTATCCGGAGCTGCCGAGGGAAGCGTGAAGCTTTTTTGCGCCGTGTTCTCTCGGAGCGAGCATGTTTCAAGCTAACCTGTTGCTCACACCTCTCCTAAATTACAGCAGCCGGCTGCTTTTTGCAGGAGCTTCTCCAAAGCAGCTCCTAAAAACAGCCTGAAGAAAAACATCTCTTTAATTTTCCATCTGCAAAGGGTCCTTCTGTCGTTTAATTTTCCACCTAGGCAGTGGGATCCCCCTCCAAGGGGTCCTTCCCCGAAAACCCCTGCACCACCTCCCCCT